CAAACAATGTTAACCATTTGTACATTCTCTATGGCACGCATATTTTAGATTTACACTACATTTAAAAGCCTCTGGTGTGTAAAAATATTAAATATCATCATGTCCCTCCTGTTTTTTTTACCCTAATAAAAGTTATAGGAGCATTAAATAGTGAATAAAGAAACGTCATTCTAATGCTCTTTATATTATGAATGATGTTCATAACAGAAGCAGTGTTATATGGCGGCATATATATATATATATGCAAATTCATTCTCTGCCAGCAGGAGGTATTCGTAGAGCAGGAGAGATCGAGGTTTCCCCAATATACACAAAACAGCGCTCATCAGCTCACAAACGCTGCTCAGGCATTACAGGCAAGATGAAATGAAAATGACATCCATAATTTTCTGAAGACAGTCGGTTTCCTTCAGAAATACAGTGATATAACACCAGCACCGGGTTTCGACTTTGACACATGCAGTGCTCATGTTTATTCAACTAAGTCAAAGCCTTTTGGAAAATCTGTTTGTGACGGTCAGTTTTGATATTGTGGCGGGGAAGGCAGTTTTTGTCAGAGCCCTTGTTATTCTTAATTTTGACATTCATTTTCATTTTTACACCAGACATATATATCGCTTCAAAATATCGGTTATCGGTCTACTTGATCTGTAATAATCGGTATCTGCATTGGCCTTGAAAAACACATGTCGGTCGACCCCTAAGCGCAATAACTAAAATATACATTTTGCTGAAATATTTGTAGTTGGACAATAGATGTGGCATATGTAGAATTTTAAACATGCAAGTAAGTGCAGTGTTTCTCATACTATGATTTATTTGTGGTGCCCGCCACAATATCAAAACTGTCCGCCACAAATATATTTTCCAAAAGGCTTTGACTTCGTTGAATAAACATGATCACTGCATGTTTCAAAATCAAAAAACCTGTTGTGGGTGTTTTTATATCACTGTATTTCTGAAGGAAACCGACTGTTCAGAAAAATTTTCTATGTCATTTTCATTTCATCTTGCATGTAATGTCTGATAAAGAAGCGTTTGTGAGCGGAGCGCTGCATTGTGTACAGCCGTTACCAGGGAAACCTCGATCTCTACCACTCCAACAGCGCCTCCTGCTGCCAGAGAATGAATTTGCATATATATAT